TCTTGATATATATGTTGCTACAGCTACAGTATAACAAATGTGTAGATAACTTAAATAGTTAATTTTTAAAACCTTTAAATTTTACACTCCAATATATCCAGAGGAATATAGGTACATTTAGACGTACGTTTAGATATAAATATTTTACATTCATATAGAGTTCTACAAGTTTTCTATTAAAAATCTCGATGGGGTACAGACAATGTTAGAGTTGCTGTTGCTTGAACTATAAAAAATTCAAAAACATCTAAATAAATTACAGAAAAAAGCTTATGTAGTTTTTCTGCCGCATACCATCAATACGTAATAGAAAACTATTCGTTCAAAAGTATGTTTTATGTAATGTACCCTCACGTAAACATGCACGTTTTGACATTTATAATAAATATACACGCGAGAAAAGGAATGATAATATATTGTCGTAATAAATTTATTTATACATTTAATACCAATTTTGTATGCCGTTGTTGCAGTCTATTGCAGTGAGCCTTACTAGTGAGAATAGATGCAAGGTAAAAATGCTCTAGCTATATAGTATAGTCCAGAGGGTAGATAGTTTAGTGTGAATTTTTCATCCCACCTTTAATCTAAATTGATTGTGTTTATAGTGCATTTAGTGGATTGGATCGTTATCCCATACCAAGGCATAGAGTTGGAGGAAAGGAAATTACAACTGTGTACCAGTAATGGCACAGAGGTTGACATGAAGCCAGTAAATAGCAGTTAGGAACAATAGTATAAAACTGTTCACTCTTTCACACTTGTATTCCTTTGCTGTACCTCATGCCTTCATTTTACTTGTTGAAGAGGCAATGACAGTGAAAGAAAGGCTAGAAGTAATGTTCCACCGTGTGCTTACTGGGTTTCACATGTTTAATCAAACGAAAATGCAAACACTACGTGATTAGCGGTGATAACTCTGTAGATAGGTTTGCTATAAATCTGATTATCATGAACTAATATTTAAATACAGATGGGTACAGTCAGGCTGTCGTGTAATGCGATACACTCGGCCGTATTAGAAATATCATGACATCGGGGGCCGTTGTCAGAAACATCGTAAGTTAATGTTACGACTAATGTTAAGACTAATTTTGTTTCTGACAACGGGACCCTGGTTGTCAGAAAGGTGTACTGTAACAATGTTATAGTTTGGGTTTTAAACATACGTTGTTAACCTTCGGAAAACATCAAGGTTAAGCATCAAAGAAGAGACGCCTTGCACGTAACACCTTTCTATGTTACCTCACCGTTGTTCACCAACGAATCAAAATTAAAACTTTATAGGTGCAACAGCAGTTTGATGAGGATGCGCACGTACCTTATCAGGAGTCTATCAATTGATAGACTCCTGACCTAATCACAAAGGTTTACCGCGAACTTAATGCAACAGTAAATTGCACGCAAGCCGAGGGTTATGGTAATATGGTAAATGCGTTGTCGTGAAGCACACCTTAACTGTATATATTCAACTCTGCGTTTAATTGTGTGGATATTGCAATCGTATAGTACCTTCGTGTTTAATGCGAGATTATATTTGTTTTGTGAAACCTCAGATTACTTGCATAGCCATAGAACCGACACTTGATGTTGATAGACCAGATAGGCTGTTGTTAGCCTGTGTACCTGTATTCAAGAGCTTGAAAATTTTAAACAGATTATTATTTTTATTTTGTCAAGAATTAGGCTATATAGTATATATTAGCCTATAATGAATTCTGAAAATAAATGGGTAGACAAAGTGCTGCATAGTAATTAGAGACAAATTAAGTGTTATGAACATTTGGATGTACTTGTTTCATGGAAATATATAAATGCATATGATATGAGTCTATTCACATTTCTTACTGTTGTTTTTTCAGTGGTTCTTACATCTTTAGTTTAGAAAAACCAAATTGGTTAAAGGAGGTGGGTTCCCGTTATTGACACTTGCAGCATGGCATGTTGCGCCACCTACTGTTTAGAAGGGTTATTGGTCGGTTTCATACAGGGAAAAGGAGGCGAAACAGCACTGCCTACCGTAGAATGGTATATTTTGATTGATTGAAATTGGATCAAATTAGATCAAAGGTTAGCGTGCCCAGCAGTTTTTTTGAGTGTTACAATCTTATAAACAGCCACAACAAGAATCGATATATTCCACAAAATGTGATATGCATTGTAACATTGTTTGACATGTCACATTTATGTTGAAATATTGATTAGAAAGACCAACATTTCTTAGAAGAGCTCATTTAACAGAATTTTCACGAGCGGTCTATTTTAACTAACTACATTTTACAGCTCCGGTAATTTGGGAGGCCAAATCAATATTTTCTGCAAGCTATACATTACGCTCACGTAGTAATGTGCATAAACTTTCTAAATAGCAGCTGCATCTACTATAATTGACACTTCAAACCTACAGGACGTACGATTTGCAATTTAAAGATTTGATGCGCTATTTTCATGTGGATCTTGCGCCAATCAAATCCAAACCAATCGCACAAAGTAAGAAAATATGAATTTGTAGTTTTGTCTAATTACTCTCTGATAATCCCCGTAAAATAATGAACCGTGTTTTTCTTCTCCTCTAGTAATACAGCTAGGTCCTAATTACCATCAAGGTGACCACTGTACTGTATGTATGAAACTAGTAGGTCTTTATAGTCAGCGAGGCTTTTTACAGGCAGTGAATAAACACTATACTTGCGGTGCGTATATATAAGATACAGGACAAAACAAAGCAATCCGCAAGAGAATATTGTTAATTTCCACACTACGTTGTTATACATATATATATATACAGGTTCTATTAACTCTATAGGCCCGCGGTTACGGCTTTGTATGAAAATCATTCCAGCAACAATTATAGCCATTACGTTTACTCCCGCTACCCCCATGCTATTATTATAGCTCTATATTACCGCAGCCAGGTATTACGTGCGTGTAGCCACCGTATCCAGGCCCATCACACACAATCAATAGAAGTAATGGGAATAACCAGGTGCAGAACAAGGGCTCCAATTCACGATGCATGCCTGGCGCCACGAAATACAATAATTCATTCATAAACTGCCAATTTTTCAGGGCATACATGAAAATTAACCAGAGCGTAATCGATATTGTTATCATGCCCGGTTAAGCTCTCTCATCTGGCGTTGGAATAGCTCTACTTAAATATTAAAGTCCACTAATTCTCTTACTGTCACGTCAAAATACCTAGTACCGTACACGGCAAATTTTGTATTCTGTGGACTTGCGTGCGCAGCACTACATTCACTGATGCTCGTGCTGGCTGGTGCTCGTGCCATAGCATCAGGAGTGTCATAGTATAGATTATAAATAGAAATTAAACAGATAGATATTATAAATAGATTATAAATAGAATCTATATTATGACACTCCTGGTAGCATGTGGGTACCCATGTGTGCCATGATGCGTGGCAACCCATGGCAATTCACTAACTCTGATGCTGCCAACAGATCATTTTGTTTAAAATGCCTTTCTCTTCGGCGCAATTTCAACAGAGTGGGGGAATAGATCAATCAAATGATTGCAAACGAACCAATCCTTCACGTAATTACTATAGCTTATCCGACTTTAACGTCAACAAATGAGTGTGCGTGGAATGAAACTGGTGTATAAGACCGTCCGTTCATCCTTCAACAATATCAGCGCGAATCTAAATGGTTTTGCTACCAGAAGAGCCAGAAACATCGTGTGTTTTTCCGAAATATTTTACAACACCCACAACTCGCTTGTGTTGTTGTATGATCGCTGAGATGAGAAGATGAGTTAGCTACAAGATTCGCTACACAATAACATAGAAACCTTGTGAAAAATAAAGCACTAGAAATAAATAATTTTCATTAGAAATACGTTACTAATTAATAAATTATTCATGTAGAACAAGAAAGCATATTCTTAATATATACATTAATCATTATGTAATTTGGTTATTTGTATTGTTAATATTGGTTAGTATAAGATTTTGAGACCTGTCCTGGTGCAAGGATATATATTCTAAAAAAATCCAAATAATTTTGGATAAAGTTTTCTGAGAACGATTTAAAATAAAATCTAGAGTTATTCCATGCACTCTTAGGATAAGTGTAGGTAATTTAAAATCATTAAGGCACCCCACAATGCAAAGGAACTATTGTATAGAAATCAAATTAAATAATGATATAGGCCTACTCGCTAAAAATCTTTTAAACGTGCCAAACAATCATACTACCATAATTATACTACCACAATTTTATTTGTAATTACTTTTATAATCATTGTAGCATCTAGTATCCCATTGTATGTACACACGCGTGCGCATGCACACACACACGCACGCACGCACGCACGCACGCACGCACGCGTAGTTCACATTATTTGAGTCGTCGCCTACTTGATGTGTAATTGATATCACTAGATATTACACAGGAATATACAATTTGAGTAGTAATATATAAGTCGATTCTGTTTTTCTTGATCGATATAAAACAGATATATGTCTTAATCATGGTTATTCACGCATTTCCAATTTTACGCGGATTCTATTATGGACTATTCGGACACGGGGACTGTTCGCGTTAGTGTCAAGCTACAAAAGGGTGCTATCCTTCAACCACGAGGTTGTGTCAGCGACGGCGGAAAGCGCACTCACTGCGCCGCTGGAGCGAGGGGCTAACCCAACATGGCTGCCCCCATGCAGCGGACTCGACTTATCTCGATGTAATTCGATGAGCTGGCAAAACACAACACGAAAACGCACACTAAAACAGCAGACCATCACAAATAAATCTTATACACGTCACAAACCACAGATTCAACCCAGCACTCCGGTTCCAGGAGCCCCTCTTGGTAGGAACTCGGTCTTAGCGAGTCCAGGTGCACGCGCTACACTCCTCCCCCTTCAGGATCGACCGCAGCGTCGATCGCCAAAAAACATACCTAGCGGTGCACGCGCCACCGCGCGGGAGGAGACCAGCCTGGATCTATCTCAGGTGCTGGCTTGTCGCTCCTTGCCTCGTGCCGTCCTCGTCGCGATCGCGCGCAACTGCCTGGCACTGAGCGTCGCCTGCACGTGCTGGCGGCGCTTCTCACCGGGGCACGGGGCTGGGTTTTGTGAGACCCTCTGCTACTCGTGCACCGGCGTTCTCGGGCACATCACGCGGCGCGAGTGTCTTTCGAGACGCGACGACTCACGGCCCCTGCCACTCGGATCGCCATCGCTGTCAGGGGGAATAATAGCAGCTCCGCACGAAGGGCATCTCCACCACCATTCGCAGGCCTCCATCGCCTCCGGTTTCTCTCCGCGCCATAGCAGATCCCTCCTCACGAAACCTGCTTCTCAGCCTCCGGCCGCAGGCCTCCTCCCTCAGTGGCGCCGTCATCGCTTGTTCATTCTCCTCGAATGAGCAACTCCACAGACATGTTCTGTAATCAAACAGGCCTTCCCTACCAGTCTTGATAATCTACGTCTGGAGTTCTTACAACCCACCCTCGACCCATTCATGTTGATGCACGGATTCCGGAGTTATCAAGGATACAACTCTTCGCGGACTCCCGTCTCAAACTCCGACACTATGGGGTATTAACCCAAGATTCGTTCCGACAAGGCGCTAACTTAAATCTGAATGCCCATGCGGTGAGTCAGCTGAACGTACCAGCGGCTAGAGAACCCACGTGACGCAACTTACCATGGATGCTCCTAAACAGGAACCCGGATCAGTGCGGCTGCAACATTCACGGCGGAGAGGGGGCTCGCTTTGGCGCGACCGACACGGGATCCGTAGGCAGTATGGAAACCCGCGCCCCGTCCCTACCCGCCAATAATGGCGGCCTCGTGGCCCCCTCATATTTCAGCGTTACACCACAGCGTCAGGAACTCAGGCGCCCCTACAGAGTCCGCTCTGGAAACAAGTACTGCACGCCTAACTTGCGGGAGACTGTCATCCCTGTCTCCCACTGGCAGCTCGGATGCTCAAAAGCCGCGCCGGACCATAGCGGACAAACCACGTTTTTGAGACCTGGCCCAGCCCTTGGCTTACACTCTTACCAAGCGGCCTAAGCAAGGTTCCGACAGGTAGATTGTATCTCAAGAAAGTACCCTGTGAAGGAGGAAGGATACTCCAATCCGGGACTATATCGCATCCATAGAATCCGACCCCGCCCCCGCCCATAAACTAATGCACGCCAACTGCCGCGGCTCGTGGTACAGGACAGCATTACGAGCCTCTCCCGTAATTGACCTATGGGAGCGGACGGAGCCCCTGTGAAAACATTGCTCCTGAGTTTCTTGATCCAACTAACCCAGCCCGCAGGTAATTTCGCTACGCCGGAGGGCCAGTGCGTGTATACACATCGTGACAACTTCCAGGGGTTAGCCTATCACACGCACCAAGGACATCACCCATGGGACAACGATAACATTTATCCGCGGCAACTACAGACTGCATGGAATCACTTCACCCAATTGGCAAGAGAACCTAGACTCGACTTAGAAGCGGGAGTAGGCTACTTATATGGCTTATGCACTCACGACCATCAACGAGTCCACCCTCGCGTGTGATCTGAACCACCTTATTACCCGGGGACGCCATAACCGTAGTGACACGGAAGGTGTTTACACTAACTATCCTATATCCGGTAGCGTTCGAGACTTACTTGGAGTTATGAAACATCAACCACCCAAGCGGCTCCTCGCGTGCCCGGGCCCACCCAGTGGGGTACAGGACCAGCCCAGAACCCAATCTCGAGGCGCAACCACTGCCCCACACCTTCTTTTCACTTGGAGCTATACTTGCGGCTAGACAACGAAGATTAAATTCTCTAAAGCGCCATCCGTAACGGGCGTCCA